AAAAAACTTTAGTCCAGCCCCCTAACGGGTCTGAGGGACAGTGAACTGGTCCCCTGTTTAAAAAGGTTGAGGAACCCTGAAGTCTCCCATGGTCTCACACGGTGATACACTGCCAGAGGTTCACATGGTCACAGACATGGTGTCAATTCTCCTACTAGTGCACTGTCACTTACAATCAGACCACGGCATATAATCTTAAAGAGTGTCACACACAATCTCAACCTATAGCACAGGCTCTCACACGCTCAATGGTCACAGTCTCAAACACAGCTCCACTCATCATCACACTGTCACCCACTCAAATCACTGTCACCGTTTCATACAACCACTGTCACACAGCCACACACACTGGTCACACATAGTCCTACTCACCATCACCCTCAGCTCCGCACAAACTCAAATAGTGCCAGGGTCACATGTGGTCTCATGGAATAAACAGTTTGACACGGTCAAGAAACGGAAAAACCTCTCAAACAGCTACCTACAGGCCACACCCTGTTCACATGGTCTCACACACCCAGTCCCACTCACAATCACACACTTCTACACACACTCTCAAGCTCTGTTACAATCTCACACATCTATCGGACAGGCAGGAAGATCAGGGGAAAAGGAGTTGTTCTCCACCGAATGCCTATGCTAAACAAAAGTTGGCTGGCCGAGGCACAAATAAAAGGGGTTTGGAAAACAAAAAATCAGGCACGCATTAAAAACCTATGGGGAAGACCCAAAGCCGGGCGTGCACATATAAAAACCATTAGAAACCACAGACACCTACCTGCAGCCGCTACAAATGGCCAATAATCTCAACCACGCCCCCTCCTCCCTCCAGGGGGTAAAAGTGGATAAAAAGCAGAAACAGAGGATGGGATCTTTCTGCTCAAGGCCCCTCTTTTCCGTCTTTGGCCTCCCTGGCACGCTTTCCAGAGACACGGAGCCCTGAGAAGGCGTTACCCCAAACTTCCTTTTCCCTCCTAAAAGTTACACTTCCAAACGTGCTTCTGCCATGTGCATTCCTCCAGCGCGGAGAAGGGTACCCCCGGGGGAAGCCATCCCCCCCCCCACCTAACACGGGCACTATTCACACGTGACCCCACCCTGCAGCGTTTCTCACCGTCTCCCCATTCACATGCACGATCACACTTGCGCTGTCCAGCCTCACACACTCACACGTGGCCCCGAACGGCCACACCGGTCACACCCCGGCCAACAGCGCCCGCCCGCCCGCTCGCTCCTCGCGGTGACGCGGATCGGGGACCACCGTCGGTGTCCACACGATCCCTCCCGGTCAGTCACTGTGTGCGCACGCGGGCCCTCGTGGGCATGCACTCGCACGTGTGTCCCCCTCACACATTGGGGTGCGGCTGCTCCCCAAGCGTCTC